TCTCCTTCTCACAGGCTGCAGATTCATAATTCCCATTGTTTCTGGTGTCTGCCCCCAGTGGCTAAGTTTGGTTCAGTGGGTTGTGTAGGCTTCCTGGTGGAGGGGACTGGTGCCTGTGTTCTGGTGGATGAGGCTGGATATTGTCTTTCTGGTGGGCAGGACCATGTCTGGTGGTGTGTTTTGGGGTGTCTGTGGCCTTATTATGATTTTAGGCAGCCTCTCTGCTAATGGGTGGGATTGTGTTCCTAACTTACTAGTTGTTTGGCATAGGGTGTCCAGTACTGTAGCTTGCTGGTCATTGAGTGGAGCTGGGTCTTAGCGTTGAGTTGGAGATCCCTGAGAGAGCTTTTGCCATTTGATATTACATGGAGCCGGGAGGTCTCTGGTGAGCCAGTGTCCTGAACTCAGCTCTCCCAGCTTAGAGGCTCAGGCCTGACACCCTGCTGGGGCACCAAGACCCTGTCAGCCACAAGTCTCAGAAGAAAAGGGAGGAAAAAAGAAAGAAAGAGAGAGAGAGAGAGAGAGAGAGAGAGAGAGAGAGAGAGAGAGAGAGAGAGGAAGGAAGGATGGAAGGAAGGAAAGTTATTAAAATAAAGATTTTTTTAATTATTAAAAATTTTTAAAAAGGAAGAAAGAAGAGAGCAACCAAACCAAAAAGCAAATCCACCAATGATAACAAGCACTAAAAACTATACTAAAAAAACAAAACAAACAAAAAGGAACCAGACAGAGAGAACTGTAGGACAAATGGTAAAAGCAAAGCTATACAGACAAAATCACACAAAGAAGCATACACATACACACTCACAAAAAGAGAAAAATGAAAAAAATATATATATATATAAAAGAAAGAGAGCAATCAAATCAATAAACAAATCTACTAATGATAATAAACTCTAAATACTAAACTACGAAAAACATAAAACCAGAAACAAATTAGATGCAGAAAGCAAACCCCAAGTCTACAGCTGCTCCCAAAGTCCAGTGCCTCAAGATTGGGATGATTCATTGTCTATTCAGGTATTCCACAGATGCAGGGTACATCAAGTTGATTGTGGAGATTTACTCCATTGCTCCTGAGGCTGCTGGGAGAAATTTCCCTTTCTCTTCTTTGTTCACGCAGCTCCTAGGGTTCAGCTTTGGATTCGGCCCCGCCTCTGCATGTAGTTCGCCTGCGGGCATCTCTTCTTCCCCCAGACAGGATGGGGTTAAAGGAGCAGCTGATTAGGGGACTCTGGCTCACTAGCCCTGGGAGAGGGAGGTGTACGGAATGCGGGGCGAGCCTGTGGTGGCAGAGACCGGCATGACTTTGCAACAGCCTGAGGCATGCTGTGTGTTCTCTCGGGGAAGTTGTCTCTGGATCATGGGACCCTGGCAGTGGCAGGCTGCACAGGCTCTGGGGAGGGGAAGTGTGGTTATTGACCTGTGCTTGCACACAGGCTTCTTGGTGGCTGCAGCAGCAGCCTTAGCCTCTCATGCCAGTCTCTGATGTCCACGCTGATAGCCACGGCTCACACCCATCTCTGGAGCTCATTTAGGTGGTGCTCCGAATCCCTTCTCCTCGCGCACCCCTAAACAGTGGTCTCTTGCTTCTTAGGCTGGTCCAGACTTTTTCCTGGACTCCCTCCCAGCTAGCTGTGGTGCACTAGCCCCCCTTCAGGCTGTGTTCATGCAGCCAACCCCAGTCCTCTCCCTGGGATCTGACTCCAAAACCAGAGCCTCAGTTCCAAGCCCCCACCAGCCCTGGCACGTGAGCAGACAAGCCTCTCAGGCTTGTGAGTGCTGGTCCACACCAGTCCTCTGGGTGGGAATCTCTCTGTTTTGTCCTCTGCACCCCTGTTTCTGTGCTCTCCTCCATGGCTCCAAAGCTTCCCCCCACCACCCCCTGTCTCTACCAGTGAAGGGGCTTCCTAGTGTGTGGAAGCTCTTCTTCCTTCACAGCTCCTTCCCAGAGGTGCAGGTCCCATCTCTATCCTTTTGTCTCTGTTTTCTTTTTTCTTTTGCCCTACCCAGGTATGTGGGGATTTTCTTGCCTTTTGGGAAGTCTGGGGTCTTCTGTCAGCGTTCAGTAGGTGTTCTGTAGGAGTTGTTCCACATGTAGATGTATTTCTGATGTATTTATGAGGAGGAAGGTGATCTCCATGTCTTACTTCTCTGCCTGCTTATCTTTTAAAGAGGTTTAAATAATATGAAAATATATGAAATAATATGAAAATATGTCTTACATATTTGCCCATGTAAGTATCTTTTTCATTGTTCTTAATTCCTTTGTGTAGATCTATATTTCCATTTGTTATCATTTTTCTTCCTTTTGAAACACTTCACTTAATATTTCTTGGGGGGCTTCCCTGGTGGCACAGTGGTTGAGTCCGCCTGCCGATGCAGGGGACGCAGGTTCATGCCCCAGTCCGGGAAGATCCCACATGCCGTGGAGCGGCTGGGCCTGTGAGCCATGGCTGCTGAGCCTGCATGTCTGGAGCCTGTGCTCCGCAACTGGAGAGGTCACAACAGTGAGAGGTGCGCGTACTGAAACAAAACAAAAAACAAAACAAAACAAAACAACAACAAGAACAACAACAAAATATATATATATTTTTTTTAAATATATATATATATTTCTTGGGAACATTGGGGTGCAAATCTGCTGGTGATGATTTTTTTTAATTAATTCATTTATTTATTTATTTTAGCTGCATTGGGTCTTTGTTGCTGTGGGTGGGCTTTCTCTAGTTGTGGCTAGTGGGGACTACTCTTTGTTGCAGTGTGTGGGCTTCTCATTATAGTGGCTTCTCTTGGTGTGGAGCACAGGCTCTCAGTGCACAGGCTTCAGTAGTTGTGGCACGCAGGCTCACTGGTTGTGGCTCGTGGGCTCTAGAGCACAGGCTCAGTAGTTGTGGCGCACAGGCTTAGTTGCTCTGCAGCATGTGGGCTCTTCCTGGACCAGGGCTTGAACCTGTGTCCCCTGCATTGGCAGGAGGATTCTTAACCACTGTGCCACCAGGGAAGTCCCACTGGTGCTGATTTCTTTCAGATTTTGACATTGAAAGATATTTTCACTGGTACAGAATTTTAGCTTGACAATTTTTTTTCTGTCCATACTTTAAATATGGTGCTTCACTGTCTTCTCATGTGTTTTATTTCCTCCCAGAAAACTGCTATCATCATCCTTTTTTTTTAATACTAATATGTCCTTTTTTCTAACTACTTTTAATATTTTCTCTTTATCATGGTTTTGAGCAATTTGGTTATGATGTATCTTGGTGTAGTTTCCTTTATGTTTCTTGTGTTTAGTTTTCATTTAGCTTCTTGAATCTCTGGGTTTTTACTTTTCCTCAAATTTGGAAAAATTTTGGCTGTTATTTCTTCAAACACTTTTTTTTGTCCCCACTACAATCTGCTTTCCTTTAGGGACTCAAATTATATATATATATATATATATATATATATATAT